AGATAGGAAGGTATATTTTATTTACTTGTGTCACGTGTGCCCCGCCGTCCCTGCTCACTCCCCCCTCCCTTCCCCTTCGCTGCATCCTCTCATTCTGCACACAGCCTTGAAGCAGGATGTGCAGGATGAGGGGAGGGGCCACCGGGAGGTCTCTGCGCGCCCCCGGTGGGCGCAGCATGGGCAGGCGTCCCGCTCTCTGCACCCACCAGTGACTAAGGCCGCACTCACGAGAGTGCGGCCCGAGTCAAGGGGGCGTGCTTCGTTGCCCCGGCAACACGGCGCTGGGCCGGCCGTTGCCGGGGCAATCCGGAAGCGTCCTGCGCGGCTTTAAAAGGCTGGTGCGGGACCAGATCGGTCTCTCTCTTCCTCCTGTGCTGTCCGGCCGCTCTCTCTCTGCCTGCCACCACCGCTGTCGTGGGAGGTCTGGGTGGGGACTGGGCCTCCGCAGCCATCCCTGCTGAGCACTCTGCAGGAGCCCCCCCCTCCTCCAAAGGTCAGAACCATTACCCGCTGCCACTCTGCCAATACTCCAGGGCTGGGAGTGTCCCTGGAAGCTGGCCATGTGTGTGCTCATTCCTGCTCGGGACAGGGTGCTGTGGTGGGTCTGCGCTGAGGCCAGGCCCCACAGCCAAGACCCTGCCGTGCCCCTGCAAGACTACTGTGTCCCTACCTGCTGAAGCCCGCTGTGTCCCTACCAGCTGATCGCTGAGTCCCTGGGAAGCCGCCACTGCCTGCTGATTGCTGGGTCCCTGGGAAGTCGCCCTATCTGCTGATCGCTGGGTCCCTGTGAAACCGCCCTGTCTGCTGATTGCTGGGTCCCTGGAAAGCCACCCTGTCTGTTGACCGCATTGTCTCTGGAAGTTGCCTGCTGCTGAGTGTCTGCAAGCCGTCTATCCCCCTGGAAGCCGCCTGCTGCTGAGTGTCTGCAAGCCGCCTATCATGAGTGTCCCTGGAAGCTGCCTGCTGCTGAGGGTCTGCAAGCCGCCTATCGTGAGTGTCCCTGGAAACCTCCTGCTGCTGAGTGTCTGCAAGCCGCCTGTCGTGAGTGTCCCTTGAAGTCGTCTGCTGCTGAGTGTCTGCAAGTCACCTATCGTGAGTGTCCCTGGAAGCCGCATGTTGCGGAGTGCCATGAACTGCCCCTATTGTGTGCTCAGAGCACCCCTGTCCTGGAGTGCCCCTATTGTGTGCCCAGACCACCCTTGTCGTGAACTGCCCCTATTTTGCGCTCAGACCACCCTTGTCATGAACTGCCCCTATTGTGCGCTCAGACCACCCTTGTCATGAACAGCCCCTATTGTGTGCTCAGACCACCTTTGTCATGAACTGCCCTTATTGTGCACTCAGACCACCCTTGTCTGAACTGCCCCATGGCGTGCCAGGAGTATAGCTACCTGGACTGCCCCCCTGAGTGCTTGAGCCATCACTACCCGTTGAGTCCCCGTGAGGCTGCTGTTGTCCCCGGAAAACTCGGTGGGAGCTGTGCTGATGGCAGACACCCTAGTCAAGGTCCCATTGAATCCCCATGAGCCTGATGTCCCTAGAAAGCTGGGTGGGAGCTGTGCTGAGGGAAGACCCCCTAGTCAAGGTTCTGCTGAGTCCCCGTGAGCCTGATATCCCTAGAAAGCTGTGTGGGAGCTGTCCTGAGGCCAGACCCCCTAGTCAAGGTCCCGCTGAGTCCCAGTGAGCATGATGTGTCTAGAAAGCTGTGTGGGAGCTGTGCTGAGGCAAGGCCCCACAGCCAAAGTCCCGTTGAGTCCCTGTGAGGCTGCTGTTGCCCCTGGAAAGCTGTGTGGGAGCTGTCCTGAGGTCAGACACCCTAGTCAAGGTCCCGCTGAGTCCCCGTGAGCCTGATGTCCCTAGAAAGCTGGGTGGAAGCTGTTCTGAGGCCAGACCCCCTAGTCAAGGTCCCGCTGAGTCCCAGTGAGCATGATGTGTCTGAACTGCCCCATGGCGTGCCAGGAGTATAGCTACCTGGACTGCCCCCCTGAGTGCTTGAGCCATCACTACCCGTTGAGTCCCCGTGAGAGCTGCTGTTGTCCCCAGAAAACTCGGTGGGAGCTGTGCTGATGGCAGACACCCTAGTCAAGGTCCCATTGAATCCCCATGAGCCTGTTGCCCCTGGAAAGCTGTGTGGGAGCTGTCCTGAGGTCAGACCCCCTAGTCAAGGTTCTGCTGAGTCCCTGTGAGCCTGAGCCTGATATCCCTAGAAAGCTGATATCCCTAGTGTGTGGGAGCTGTCCTGAGGACAGACCCCCTAGTCAAGGTCCCGCTGAGTCCCAGTGAGCATGATGTGTCTAGAAAGCTGTGTGGGAGCTGTGCTGAGGCAAGGCCCCACAGCCAAAGTCCCGTTGAGTCCCTGTGAGGCTGCTGTTGCCCCTGGAAAGCTGTGTGGGAGCTGTCCTGAGGTCAGACACCCTAGTCAAGGTCCCGTTGAATCCCCGTGAGCCCGCTTACCATGAGTGTCCCTACAAGCCGCATGTTGCGGAGTGCCAAGAGCTGCCACAATTGAGTGCCTTCCATAGTTCAAAAAAGCTTTGTGTGTTTACCATCTTCTTTGTGTGTTCTGTCCTGCCTACGCTTCCGTCACAACTTGTTTTAAAGTTTTGGGTTTTTTTTACATTTATTCAGTTGTTTCCTGCTTTCTGGCCTAGGCCAAAGTGATGTCATACATCCCAGAAGTTGATGGGCATTTTTTTTTCTTTTATCTGGAGGAAGGGCTTTCTCAGCTAAGCACACCCCCTACCTACATGCCTAAGCTAACGGCAAGTGGATTCCAGGAAGTAAATGCTACATGAATTATCTGCCCTTATGCAAGATGGCTGCAGCTAGAATTCCTAGGGGATGTTTTTTCTCACCAAAATAAAGCATGGAGACATGGATGGATGGGTGAGATTGCTGTGAATATTAAAAATAAATAGAGTTTCAGTTTGTGATGCTCAGATACAGTTTAGTTCTGCTTCAAAATTGGTGGCTACATTAGTTTTCTTTTCCAAGCTAAGAACATTTGAGGCAAGTGCTGAAAAATGGTAGTTTTGACAGTAATGCAGTGTCCTTGTCACTTTCTGTGAGCTGCAAGTTTAAAACTATCTTATCTTTCTCCTGTAAAGTGCAAATCTACCCATCCAGATGTAATGGAGATGAACAAAAGCAGACATATTTCCAGTCCAGTCTGAGTGACAACAGGGAAGTGTGGTACTGGCAAGTCCACCAGGTGAAAATAACATTTTAAAAGCCTGAAAAAGCTGCAATATATTATATTTTTGTTTTGGGATTTAGATATGCTTAAAACAAATTGTATTTATTTTTTTGGACAATATTTATTTAAAATAAAATTACAAGTTTTAAAAATATTTTTATATCAACTTTTTATTACGTGTATAAACTCTACAATAAGATAAATAGAAATTGAAATAAAATGAATAGAAATAAAAGTGAAATCTAAAATGTAATGTTTCAAAAGTATTCTGGGCTTTATATACCTTTTGCAATCACTACTTACAGTGTCTCTGCCTAAATGATACACCTTACTAAGCCATTTGTACAGGTAAAGGGATGTGTCCCTCCTCTGAAATATTTAGTGGTGTGTTTTCTGAATAGCCCTGGACAGCAGGAGACTAAATTACACTTGTTATACTGCAGGGAGGCTGAGAAATGTCAAAAACATGTGGCCAAGGGATTTCAGAGCTACTGCTCTTTATTGGACAACACAGTGTTGACTTCCCACTACACCTGCATTTTAGAGTAATTTAAAGTGGAATTGCACTGCATCTGGTACCATAAACCAAAATTGCTATCTAATTCATTTTTAATATTAAAAACTCCTCCATCCATCCATGTCTCCATGCTTTATTTTGCTGCGAAATCACATCCTGGCATTTCTGGCAGTGGCCATCTTGAGTAAAGGCAGATGATTAATGTAGCAGTTACTTTCTGGGATCCATCTTGGCTTAGCTCAGGCATTGGCTGAGCTGAGAACCCCCCGCCCCCCTCCTGAAGACTCCTGGGGATGTATGATATCATTTGCCTAGGCATGGAAACCAGGAAGTAAAATGAAGGAATGCAAAACAAAAGGTTAAAATAAGTAAATATGATATACTTCTAGATTGTAAGCTCTGATGAGCAGGGTCCTCTGTTTCCTCTTGTACCAAATTGTATTGTAACTGTAATGTCTACCTTCATTTTGTAATGCGCTGCACAAACTGTTGGCGCTATATAAATCCTGTATAATAATAATACTTTCCTATCTATGAACTAGCATAAGGATTAAAAGTTGTCTATGTTGATTGAGAGAGTGAAGTTCCGCTTTAGGCAATGCAAACTGCAGTGTGTATCAACATGCAGGTGACATTCAACCCTGGTTCACACCAGTGCGGCTTTGAAATCACGCTACTTAGTTCAACTTCAAAGGCTATTCATTGCAACTTCATTGCGGCTTGCTGATACTCTGTGCAACTTCGTTTAATAGTGCAGGAACCTTTTTCAAAGTCGCTGCAACCTGAGTCGCATTGCTACTAATGGGGTGTGACTTGTCATGCAACTTTGAACTCTCAAGTTGTACTGGTGTGAACCAGATCTCAATGATAGCAGTGGAGTCTGGTTATAGAACTTTGACACATCTAGGTTGATATACAAGGCAGAAAGACAATTCCCTTTGCAAGGGAAGTTGCACTTTGCAAATAATACCCAGTCATGTGCAAGGAAGAGATTTACCTCATTCACTAAGCTCTGGGGAGATTCCCATGCAAAGTACAACTTCCCTTGCAAAGTAAACAGTCTATTTGTCTTTAGTAAATCAACCCCATCATGTGATGGGGCTCTCCTGCCGAGAACAAGCAAGAGAATGCTAAGTACATTTGTAACGCACAGTACTGTGCTTATACCTATAGGCACCTTTTTTTTTTAACCACCTCCCGCCCGCCATATAAGGAAATGACGGGCACTAGGTGGTTCTCTCATTCTGGGAGGACGTCATATGACGTCCTCCCACTCTAACCGCAGGGAAGCGATCGGTGGTGCGATGTGCCCCACCAATCAATGGAAAGAGCCAATGACGTCGGCTCTGTCATGTGATCAGCTGTGTCCAATCACAGCTGATCGCGTGTACATAAGGAAATGCCAGTTATCGGCATTCCTCTCCTCATGAGCTGTCACGGTATTTGGCATTACTCAGAGGGGACATGATGATAAGCATAGCCCCATCAGTGCCACCTGTCGGTGTCCATCAATGCCACCTGGCAGTGCCCATCAATGCCACCTGCCAGTGTACATCAGTGTCACATCAATGCCACATACCAGTGCCCATCTGAGCTGCCTTTCAGTGCCACCTATCAGTGCCACCTATCAGAGCCACATATCAGTGCTGCCAATCAGTGCCGCCTATCAGTGCGCATCAGTGCCGCCTATCAGTGCCCGTCAGTGCCGCCTAACAGGTCCAGTCAGTGCCGCCTATCAGTGCCAGTCAATGCTGCCTATCAGTGCCATATATGAGTGCTGCCTTTCAGTGCCCATCAGTGATGACTGTCAATGCCTATCAGTGCCACCTACCAGTGCCTCCTCATCAGTGCCACCTATCAGTGCCCATCAGTTCAACCTATCAGTGCTCATCACTGTAGCCTCATTAGCACACATCAGTGAAGGAGAAAAATCACTTATTTACAAAAGTTTATAACAGAAAATAGGAAAAAACATTTTTTTTTTAATTTTTCAGTTGTTTTTGGTTTGTTTAGCAAAAAATAAAAAAGCCAGAGGTGAGTAAATACCACAAAAAGAAAGCTCTATCTTTCTCAAAATGAAATGATAACAATTTCATATGGGCACAGTGTTGCATGACCGCACAATTGTCATTCAAATTGTGACAGCGCTTAAAGCTGAAAATTGGCCTGGGCAGGAAGGGGGTATAAGTGCTTGGTAGGCAAGTGGTTAAATATGCTGCATTGCTGCAGTACAGCCCTAACAATGCTTTACAAAATGGCCAAAAAGTATACAAAATCAATACAATATGTTCTACTAAGGTTTCATATTTTACAGCCTCCGGTGACAGTCTAGTCGGTTGCTCTGAAAACCTGTCATTCATAAAGGGATCTGATTATTTGAAAGTAACAAGAAGACCCTCTGCAATCCTTTCTTCACATAGCACACACGCATATATTATTCAGTGCATGTCAGGTGTCAATGCAGTCTCACAGTCCAGCATTGTTACCAGGAACACCCTACAGGCAGTAGGACAATTCCATTGCTCTATCACATTTGTAATCTATCCACCTTTAGACGATCCCTGAAATCTGTTCTCTTTAAAGAAGCCTATCCTGCTTCCAACTAGTAAACTGCCTTTTATTTCCTCCCTCAGCTCATCCACCACAGCTATTACCTTTTGTATCACTCAACCCTTCATCCTAGATTGTAAGCTCTAACGAGCAGGGCCCTCTGTTTCCTCTTGTACCAAATTGTATTGTAACTGTAATGTCTACCTTCATTATGTAAAGTGCTGTGCAAACTGTTGGCGCTATATAAATCCTGAATAATAATAATATGACATATTGATCTTGTTCCATGTATGTCCATCTTTACACTCAGTGCTAAGCACAGCAGCTATAATATGGCACACGTCACCATTTACATTATCTCTACTTTTATCACTGGTTTACATTGTCACAGTCAGCTTTCCAGGAGGCTAACCTCATTACAATATGACACCCTGTGTACTGCTACTGATGACCCTACAAGCACAGCATTTTTGATTATTCTTCCGTAGCCCAAGATCCTGGCATCTGTTTAATGAAAATGCACAAGAACCAGGACACAAGAGGGATGTAAACAATAAAATATTTCTATTTATTCTAGTGGGACAAGCAAACATTTGTACATATCAATCCATTACAATGTATCCATTTCAATCTCTGTAGACCTGTCAGATATTATCTCATCTTGATAAATTTGTGTGCACTGACCCTATGATCCCGTCCTCGTCTATGTTGCCCTAAATGATCCTATTTAACCTGAAACTCATCTGCTTTTCTTCCCTCTGAGTATTACTTTCTGTTTCCAGACAACAAAGACATAAAGGGTAGCGACAGGAAAAACACCAAATAAATTCTACTCTTTGTTTGTTTTATGGTCACCATAGCAGTTTCTGAGGCAATGAGAGATAAGATGGAAAGCATGATGCCTTCAGATAAAACAGCAGCGGCTGTTACAAAGGAATATGAAATAAAAAACACCATAATGTGAGCATAATATGTGGAAAATAGTCAACAAACAGCCTTTTTATCTGTTCACTTAATACATTATATATATAAAAAAATTGCTTTTAGAAACCTTACACAGGAGCAGAGCTCATATGTAAAATCTTGAGCAAAGGAAAGTGAAGCTCGATGCTAGACTATAGTGTTGATTTACTAAAACTGGACTGATGCAACTTTACATATCAACCAATCAGCTTCCCGGTTTTATTGTATAGCTTAATTGAATAAGCTGAATTTAGAAGCTGATTGGCTACAGCTGCACCAAAATTTGCACTCTCAACTTTTAGTGTGTAGGGTTTATATTATTCCGACCTGAACAATTAAGTTGGCTGAAGATCTTAAACCTGAAAGGACACAAGGTCATGCTATTGGCACCAACAAGGGAGCAGATAAGGTAAGTTTTGTTCCATTTTAAAGGGAGCGTGTCACGAAAAAATCAAAACAAAAAAATAAAAGTTCTTGTATGTACCAGTTCTCTAATTAGATAAAGTAGCATTTCTTCCAAATCAGTCAGTATCCACAGAGACAATGCAATAAAAAATTAATTTACAGCCTTGTTGAAAAAATATTTGCTGTATCTGGGCAAAAAAACAGCATGGACAGTTCCCACTCCATGTGGTTTTTATATTTCAATATTTTTATTGAGAAATAAACATATTAAAAACAAGATGGCTAACAATAAAAGAAAAAAAAAAAAGAAAGGGCCCACCAACAAAATGGAACCAGATTCAGAATCATAAACTAATACTGGTAGGTAAAAAAAAAAAAAAAAAAAGGAAATTTAGCAGATAATAGCATTACAATGCACATGAAAAAAGTCAAAGCCATCAAAATATACAAGTTTCAAAGATCAATAAACAACAATTATAGCAAAATAGACCAAAAATAACAAAGAAAAATAAAAATGTTTAACAAATAGTAGGAAAAGAGAAAAAAAGAGCAAAAATAGGAAAGGAGGGGGGGGTCGGGCTGCCAGACACTCACGATACAGTAATATCCTCCAAGGATCCCAAGTCCTCTCAAATCTGGACACATCATCCAGAGACGATGTTTATCATTAACCATTATCCATTTCAGTTTTTGTTTCAATCAGTGGGATCAAAGATTGCTTCCAACTCCTAGCTATAGTAATGCGAGCCGCCAATAAGAAATATACAATTATTTTAATCGATCTTTTGGGAACATCAGAGGGTAGTATATTAAACAAGGCTACTTCCGGCGATCTACGGAAAGTAAAAGAAAATTAAATATGCGGATCCAGAACCTACTCACGACTGGGCATTTCCACCAGACATGGAACATAGTACCCTAATCGGAAACAGGCAGAAAAAACGGAAGGCGAGCAGGGACCAAATACCACCGAAGTAGCGTCTTGTAATTAGATTCAACAAGATCAGTGTTAATCGAAATCTTCGATAAGGCATGGGCCGCCGTCCGCCAGGTATCCAAATCTAATGAACTTTTTAAATCCCGTTCCCATAAAGTCATGTAAGACAATTTTTGTTAGAGGATCAACCAACAAAGAAGCGACCCCGCATTACCCCACTCATCGCCCCACAGGAGACCTCGAGGGAAGTAAATCGCACAAGGTTCTGTGAGGTAATGTCAAGTTTGCTATCATAAAAGAGCGAAGTTGATGGTAACGAAATATCTCTCCACGAGGCATCCCACAAAAAATTCACAAAATACTGACGAGACCCGAGGGCGAACCCCATCTAATTACGTACATTAATCACTAACCCCGCGAAAGACAAACCCGAACAAAACTCATTAAAAGCCCAACGGAGTATGCGGAGAGAAAAAATTTACATTCGCGCCAGCTATCCAAGTAGAGTAGGACACAGGAGGGCTATTGGGAAGCCAGATGCAGAGACAATCATATGGACGCACGAAAAAAGCCTAAATCCCAACCCATTGGGGACATATCCCCTGGCCCGTACAATAGTTGGTGCTATTTGGGCCGATTAGGACTAGTAAAACCCACCATGCCTCTTCAGGTGATTTGTTCAGCCTACGCTTTCCCCTCCAAAACAAACAGGAGACTGCACCTGCAGAAGACTAGTTCCGTTTGGGAATCCAAATGGTTAAAATAGTTAATAATCTAGTAGCATTTTAATAGAATTAATTCTTTCCGAACCAGGAAAGAGAAAGATCCTGGCTATAAGTGTTATATAAGTTGGCCTGGTATAGCGTCGATACAGATTTCGTAAGAAGACTCCCCCAGATAGGGGAGCGAGAACCAGGAGCCCACTGAAAAGCAAGGCAGTACGAACCTGAATCGGGTAAAGAGATAATTCAAAAGATTGATCGTAAGACCGGAGACCTCAGAAAAACGATGAAACAGATGGAATCGAAACCAGGTAATTCGAATCATATATCATAAAACATCATCGGTTTTTATGAGACCACAGATTTAAGTCATGAACCCGCCATGCAGGAGCAAACGGAGAAAGAGGACATCCCTGTCTAGTATCCTCGCTCTATCGAAAAAGGAACTGATTTATGTCTCCTGAGCACAGGTAAAAAACCTGTCCACACATCAGGCTTTGCTAACACGATCCATCCCAATTGGAACTGCACACTACAGCAAAGCTATAGTCCGCCTAAAATTTGGTCCGAACCACACTTATGAATCCTTTGTAATGAATGTATAAGGCCAAGAAGTTATGGAGCCGTAAAGATATTAGTAAGAATCTTTAATCAGGAAAATAGGCAAAGCAGCATAAAGGCTTTCACTAATGAATGCCTTATTTTCCACTGGAAAACCACCCCCCCCTCCCCTCCCGCAAATAATTAAAGTACAGATATGGGGTATCAGGAAAGCTATAGTAAGTATAAAAAGACTTTGTGATTTCATACCTCTTCACAGGAGCGATAGGTTGTTCCACATGTGCCACCTAAATAGGAGATAGACTCCAAAAAGCCTCATGAGAGGAAGGGTGGGGAACTATAAAGCTGAGAGTAAAAAGACTGAAATTGAGGATTGTTACCCGGTCCTGGGATAACGAACCATAAATCATCTGACAAGGGGCCGTCGATTTCAGCTTGCGTGCTTCAACAAGGTGCCAGGTCTGTCCCTCCACGTAAATAGAATTTAAACATTAGACCAACGAAGTTTGTTTATCCGCATGGTAGTAAGACATAAATTAAGTTCCAGGGGCACTTGGTCAAGTTTAAGTTAGAACTGTTGAGCAACCTGAGATTTTTCAATTTTAGTAGCAAGATTTTTGGCTTTTTTTTAAACGAGAAGCTTGTAATATAGCCCCTGACTCCTTCTGAGCTGCCCAATTTAATCGCCGGGTTCGTGTCCTATGCTTTATTAAAATCATTTAGGTGCTGATGAAATTTCCCGACAATGAGAAGGATACTACCCAAAATAGAGTCATTAAGG